AGTCTCTTGAAGGACTTGTGCGCCTGCAGGTTGGGGGTGAGGGGTTCTTATAGGAGAGCAAAAAGCGAGGTTTACAGAAGCAAGATGCAGGGTGGTAAATTTTTAACCTAAATAACAATGAGGGGACTACTCAGTGGTTTACTGCTCTTCCTATCCTGCCCCCCCCCCTTTCCTGGCTGGCAACCAGATGTCTGATTGCACAGCCCCTGACTCGTGAGAGCCCCACTTTATACGTGACTCAGGCCTCGCAATCCTCTCTTTCTTTGTTTCTATGGCCAGTCCATAAATCCCTGTCTTGCAGCCAGATAAGGCTGTCCTTGCCCTAACCTCAGGTATCTTTGCTTAGCATTCCGGAGGTCCTGAATTAAGCCTGTTATTTGCTCAGCACTCCGGAGGCCCTGACTAGGCTTGTTATCTGTTCATCCTTTGCAAGAACGGTATGACTGTGGTTAAAGCGAGTTGGGGTCCTTCACATCTACAAGCAGTGTGAAATGGAGATTTAATCCGTCTCTATTTTAAGGGTGTAGAATATGAGCAATAATGTGGAATATGAGCAACATATTGAGTGAGATATTTTTATGTAAGAGAGAGGGAGGCTGTAGCTCTCTTGGAACATGAAGCCCCTAATTCTGTGCAGCTTCAAATCCTGTGCATTCAGCTAACAGAATCCTCAAGCTCACCATCTTTCCCCTTCTGTATACAAGTTGGCAAACCAAATCTTGAGTGTGTGTCCTGTGTAGGAACATCCCTTTTTCCCTAAACCATAAGGGACCCACAGAGGGTCCCGGAGAGAGGGGGAGGGGATGCTGAGTGGCTAGATGTAACTCTGGTTTGGGTTGCAAGACGAATGATTCATGAAGGAAGCAGTGCTTTGAGACTCCTACCATCTTAAAGTACATCACAGGGTAGAGGAGCAGACAAGAATACCATGCTGAGGTCCCAGCTTGAGACAAGGTAGATATCCACAATTGCAGTACTATTGACTGGAAGATTGAGAGAGTCATTGGGTGGGGGGTGTTTCATGCCTTTTGTTCCTTCATTCAATGTGTTACTGAGCACTCACTGAGTACTAGACATAGGGATGCAGCTGCGGACGACAGAGATGTGAATTCTGTCCTCATCTTTACATGGTGCTGGAGAGACATTATGCAAATAACAACATAGAGTACATATATAGACTCTGTGGGTGCTTTGTGTTATTAGACTATGCTATGAATAGTGTGATAGAGGTTATAGCTGGCAGATGAGGTATATGGTTTGGAAGTGGGGTGTGTGTGTGTGTTTGTGTGTGTGTGTATTGGTTGGTTGTTTTGGTTGTTTGGAGAAGGCATTACTGAAGGGGTCCTATTTACTCTGAACTTGAAAGATTGAGTATGAGTTACCTATATAGATTGGAAAGAAATATACTAACCAGCCAACAATAAGTAGAGAAAGTTCTGAATTCATTTTCACCCCTTCATGGCTATGTCCAGCTTTACTTCTTATTATGTTTCAAAGAACATGTACAATCTAGTTACTTTCTATTATGTATTTTTTTCTCCAGAAAAGGCTGTGCTTGGAATTTTGATACATTAGTTGATTGATTAAAGTGATTTACTTCACCACTATCTATATCTGTATCTGTATATGTTCTTAATTTTCAAGAATATGTAGACTTGCAGTGTCTGGAATTATCTTAGTAAAATACTGACCAATTTTAATAAAATTTTCAAATGTTATTGGGATTATTTTCCTCTACTTGAATGACTAGTGTTACTGATAAGATAATATATTACATGTCAGCTGAATGATATGTTATAAATATTTTGTTGTTGTTGTTGTTGTTCTGAAGAATCTCCGATTCCAGAGAAAGTTAGAGGGTCAGTATAGTGTAGTGCTTTGGGTACATGATAGCAACTCTAGAAATGTCTAGATTCTGGTCTGGGCTCCATTGTTTGTTGAGTCTCTTTAATCCTTACTGGGATCAACTTTCATTCTGCAGGTGGAGATGGTTACAACTTCCTGTTGACTATCAAATGGACAGCAGAAATGTAAAGTAACTGGTACCTCGATGTCGGTGTTGCTCTAGTGGTCAACTGGTCTATAGACACATATGTTGGTTATATTGGTAAATATTATTTTCAGACATGTAGCAGGGTAGTTTTGTGCATCAGTAGGGTTAGGATTCCTTATTTCATCTCTTGTTTCTACTTCTTAGGATTACATGAATGCCATTGAGTCTCAAGAGCAAATGTGAATTGACAAATAAAATAGTTGGCTTTTTAAAAGAGGTCCTGTGAGTTCAGGGTGATATGGCTCTAGAGGGTTTTTCATGTTAACTAAAAGGGTGAGTAACAAAGGTCAGCTTGTGTTTCAAGGAGGCAGAGATCCCTGCCGAGTTTGCCGAAAGATCGGTAGCCAAAGACCATTGATGAATTGGAAGGTAAGCTGAAGTAAGCTAAACTGAACACCTCTATACACAAAGGATGCTGGACCAGACCCTGCTGGACCTGAAGGAGAAGTAGAGCACCCCTAGTCTCCGCCCTACGTCTGCTCCTCCCTCTGACCCTGACTCCGCCTGAGGCCAGCCTGCCTGAAGCTGACCTTGAAACGGAGGGCTGATCTTTTTAACTGAAGGCTGCTTTCCCTGCTGCCACCCCCTCTACCCTTTATGTCTTTTTCATAAAACTGTGTCAGCCTCTTCCCAGAGTTGCAGCTGGAGGGGCTGAGCACCTTTGGGAACAATATTTAAGGGAGTGTGGGCACAATGCATTTGTCTTCAGTGCACTTGGGATCTGCGCATTGTGATTCCTTTGCCTTAGCGACCATTGTAACATTCCAAGCGCTTCCACAGCCTGCAGCAGCAACCCAGTTCCTTGTCACTGTTGGAAGGTGACGTGTTGGCTTAATGGATACTGCTCTCTCCATAGAGGAGGAACACAGGACTGGACCTGCCTTGCTGACAGCCAGCAGAGTCTGGCAGGCTCCACTGTGGGACACCTCAGTTCTCTGCCCCAAGTCCTAGCCAAACCACAGGGAATTCTAGGAAGTTAGCCAAAAACAAAAAACTCTTCCGGGCTGTGAAGGTTTCCATCTTTGATGTCTTTGAACAACTTTAACCTATTTTTATGTTTTACTTTTTCCATCAGATGTGACCAAATGAGCCGGTGAGGCATCTGAGATGCCCCACTCCCAGGCCTTGTGAGGCCCCAGCCCCAGCCCCAGCCCCACTGGTCTCCCCTCCACCCCTTCCTAACTGCTCACATGGATCTTGCTGCCTCTTAGTGTTCGCCTGCCTCGAGGGAGAAAGAAAAGGGAGATTATGTTCGTGCCACTGATTTAGCCGTGTGGACGTCATCTCATTGCCTTTCCCGAAGCTGCTGTATCAGTGTTGGAGAAATCTTAAATAGCTTATGTAAAAAAAACTTTTTAAAATTTTATATTATTTTGAAATTTTGCTTTTGAGGACTTGGGTTATCTTGGTCAACCCATTGGCTGTGAGAATCCCTTGCAGTCTGTGGGCTGGCGGTGTGCCGATCTTTCGCGTGTCCCCGCCCAGTCGCCCATGTTCAGGCAGTCTCTGCAAGGCCTGTTATAGGTGGACAAGCTGCAGCTTCCTGACTTATTTGTGCTCCTGTCCAGAGAGAGAACCCCATAGCGCAACTCTTTTGATACTGAATATCAACAGGTGACATGTTGGCATGTTGAAATTAAGAACCAGTCCTTCCACCCTCAGACCAACAAAAAAAAAAAAAAAAAAAAAAAGAAATTCTATTGGTCCAGACGAGGACTGGAGAGATGGTATAGCAATTAAAAGCTCTTGCTACTCTTTCAAAGGACCAGAATTTGGTTTCATCACTCCACCTGGTTTAAACATTTAAAAATGTATACCTATATCAAAACATCATATGGTGCTCCATTCATATGTTTAATATTTAAGTTTGAAGTGCCAACTAAAACTTAATTAATAAAAATAAACTATATCATAGAAGGACGCATTTGAAATTAACAAGTGATAAAATGTATCTGTTGGAAACGATAAACCACATAGAGTAATGGCTCTGAATAGTAAGTATTTTTCCATTGTAATAAGAATATAAGTAAACCTTGATTTAATATTTCTTTTTCTAAATCTTCTGTATGCAATATAGCTCATACTTGCATAGTAAGAATAAAAAGCAATACAAATCACTCTTAGAAATATACACAAAATCACAAATGAGGCTGGTTACATAAAGCTCAGATTATCCGGAAATAAAAAAAATTATCAGGGAACTTCTGAAAAGGCTAATGAGTATAAGATATACATAGCCACAAACTAGGGTGTTTATATAAAAGCCAGACTATCATTAAAGCTATTGAGTACAGATGCTGGCCAGGGGGATCAAGGAAGGCTCCAGAAGAGGAATACGGAGCTGGCCACACTGGAGCACAAATCCTATCGACAGAAGGCCAGACACCGGGGAGAGGTGTGGGGTACTATAGAGGCCCTGGTTTGCCTATGTGGAGCATCTTCCCATGGTCTGCTTTTAGAATGGTTCTTTGAGGGACACAGAGAACATGAGGCAGCAAGGCGATTTTGATTGCCCTCCTGTCTCCCTGAGAAAATATGGCATTTTTACGACTTGCTCTCTGCTTTGGAAACTTCTGCAGACACTCAGATGCTTGGGTGCTCGCCAAGTGGGTGCTTGGAAGCATTTTGTAAAGTTTGTAGAAGTGAGTTGTACATACATTCCGTAAGATTACCTTAAGACTATCACAAACACTGATTCCGTAACATTTATGTAAAATTTAAACACTTATATAGAACTCTCCCAAGTCCCCAAACAACTTCCTGTGAGAACTTCTCTTCTGTGAGGTCTTCTCTTTGCCTTAGATTGCCTTGTTTGTCTGCTCTTGTTCTTGCTGGACCCTAAGCACCCGCTTTCACAATACTGTCACTCATCGACAAATAATGCTCCTGAGCACATTATCCTGTGATTGACGCTCTTCAGTGACCAAAAAAAAAAAAAAAATTGTCGCTAAAAGAAGTAAAAGTCTAGTCATCAAAAACAATGTAATATCCTGTGTGAAAGTCACGAAGCCTTGTGGTTGGAGTGCTTTGATCAAGTGCCCTGTAAAGTGGCCTTGGATGACAGATACTCAAAGACCTTTGCAGGTGTGACTTCAGTTCGTATCATACCCTGCCCTGCTCAAGGAGGAGGGGCTGCAGCCATGACCCTCATTAGGACAATGACATTCATGCTGCTGTTCCTGGCTCTCAGTTTCTTCTCAGTTCAAGCAACAGGTAAACAATTTTGATTTTATTTCTTTTCTGTTTTTTATTCATGTTCTTCTGATCAGCCTGGTTTATTTTAAAACTGTGGTGACCTGTGAAATTTGAGCAAATTTAAAGTGTTTTGCTTTAGTATGACAAACTACTATTGAGAATACTGAGAAACTAATTCTCATAATACAATATAACAAAAAAAGTATATCAAAAAGACCTTTACCAAAAGTTTTGTTTTGTTTTGTTTTGTTTTTTTTTGGAAAGAGATAGCATTTTATTTAACAACTTGTTGATACTGTTCCAAGAACTTTTATGTTATATTCAGGATTTTATTTTTTAAATCCTAGAAAACTTCGATAAGTAGGCAAGTTGTGAAGGCTTTGGATTAGGCATCAGTTTGCATTTCAGAGTCAAGTCTTCCTAGGTGAGTTTGGGAGAGTATTTAAACTACCCAAATCTCTGTAAAATGGGACTCTTAGTAACTATCACCTCATCTTCATTGTGAGATAAAATGAAATGATCATTGTGAAAAACTTAGGTTACTCAGTACTTGACCAGTAAGCATGGAATTCATTTAAGTATTATCTGAATTTAGCAAGAGCCAAGAAGATTCAGTAGTAAACACAGATACTAATACAAATACCAGTTAGTTTCCTTTTACTGTTGGTTGAAACGTGTTTATTTAGGTTAAAATCCTTCACACTTCCAATAGCAATGGCAAGGAGTCTGTACCTATCAGTTAGAAAACTCACTCTAAAGTGAGTTTCAGTTCTTTCAATTCTCAAAACTCAGAGTTGTTTCTTGTTCCAAACTCCCTTCCAGATGAAGAAATAACCTGATGGGATTCACCTATTGAAGAGAATGTTCAATAATTTCCCCAGAGGATGCAGGTCCCAGCTATGGACTGCAGACTTCAAACCACCTTAGTCTGACTTGAGAGCCTGTGCTCTTGACCATAATGCTCTTCCAGCTAGCATGATAAGATTTGTATTTTTACAGACTTAGACAAAGTCAGTATTATATTATCTTTAGAAATCATAATCCCTAACAGAAGGAGATAGATTCATTAGCCCTGGAACAGAAGGCAGTACCACTCAGTTTGAAACCGGAATGCAAGGAGTCTATAGATGTACTTAGATAATCTCTCTGGGAAAGGTAAATTATGAAGCCAATGTCTCTGAAGTTCTCCTCATACATTTTGATGGTTATTCTTAAATATCATGAATGCTCACTCCAAAGACTATCATTTCCACATTTGCAGAAATACAGTAGTAACTCATAGATGTCCTTCTACCTGTGTTGTTTGACGTGTCAGTGACCATGGCTGTTTATAAAAAGTGCTGCTGGGAAGACATGAGCTCGTGTCTGGCCGTGCATTCCTAGAGCTAAAGAGTCCTCAAAACTTATTGTGAAAATGTTTCTGAGCTTTGTGTTTAAGGGATCTTAAGTTTCTTTCGAAGGAATAGTTAAGACATACTAGTTTATTAGATAGTAAAGCCTTACCTGGATTATAAGCTTTTCAACATTGGTAATTGTACACAAGATGCTTTTCTGATGCCCTCTGTGGATAACCATCAGTTATAAGCTCATTTATTTTCTTTAGAAACTCTTTTGGTTGGACTCAAAGCTTTGTATGTTTTTCCTTTAGAACCTTTATTAAGAGGGATAGCTAAAAGAGAAGTTGGAACATTTACACATGTAGACCATTGGTTTTATTTACCTTAATATATATTTACTTCTTAGACACCAATTCATTTTCCTACTAACTCTTAGGATTTGATGCCAAATGGCCATTAATGAAGTAGGATGGAGAGGAGGTAGAGGGAGCAGTTTTGAAATGCCTCTTCCAGTGAGGAAGCTTTAGAGAAATAAGAAGAAAGAAAAGGAAGATAATTACAACATGCAAAATATATGACCCATGTAAAACGTTGCATAGCTTTTTGTGAGCTTTTCATTTCTCTCTTCATATTCACCCCCTCCCACAAAGAAATTATACATAAGGAAATGCTCTGGTCAAATGTTATTATCCCAGACTAGGGAAGTAACACAATTGGCAGAGTGCTTGTCTAGCAAGTGTGAAACCTTGGTTTGATTCCAGCACAGCATAAACCAGGTATGGTAGCACATTCCTGTAATCTAGTGGAGGCAGGAGGATCAGAATGATTCAGGTTGGCTACATAACAAATATGAAGTTAATCTGAGCTACATAAAACTCTGTTGTATTTTTAAAGCAATTGTCCTTGATCTTCCTAGAAGTGTAAGAAACTGCTATAATATCTGCATTAAAATGTGTGTGTGTGTGTGTGTGTGTGTGTGTGTGTGTGTGTGTGTGTGTATGCAGGCAGGTCTTTATTTCCAATAATTTAATAAGCTTGATTCATTGGTTCACAGCATGGATTAACGTACTTACTTGATGATGATTAAATCTAGCCCGCTTCTCATGTTTTGGGTGATGCTGCCAAAAGCTCTTTAAGGCTCAATTAAAGAAGTCGGATAAGGGAAGATTTAGGAGGTTGTACTTTAGTTATGTCCTCTGCTAAAGTTACATGTTTTTATGAATATTGCATCATGGTGCTACTGAGATCTGAAGACAGGATTTTGTTGCATTTTAGATTGTGACTCTAGCTTATAGCTGCAGACTCTTGAGAACAAAATCATCTGTGTAGAAGTGTATTGGTCATATAAATTTTTCTAGTCAATATTTCTTATTTTTTTTGCGGCAAACTGACTCCATAGTACGGAGACTAAAGTCAGAAAATATGTTTGCTTCTCCATGAGAGCATTTCTGTTCCCTTCTTTCCAAATCTTAACTGATAAGCTATGTCAAGGTGGCCTGTTGAACCAGAGTGATCCCTCCAGTTATGATGATTTCTCCTCAGCACTTCTTTTCCTTAGAAAGACACATAAAATGATTGGCAAAGTAAAGGAATTAAAAGCTTTATCTTTGCTCAGTCTTTGGCAAACAATTTCCTCTGTGGTAGATGCACAGAAAAAGCCATAGACTTCTCACGGTTGCGCAGTGCTCTGAGGTTGGGCTTGGGAAAGTGATAAAAACGAAGAACGGCACAGAATGCAATGTAAGGGTCAGATGTCTGCAGTCACACAGCTTTGGCTTCACTGCAGCCGGCTTTTCTGACCATTTAAAATTAACAGGGTGTTTTGTCACTTGAAGTAAATTTGATACCTATTTCTAAAATGTGGAATTTGCTAAGAATTTGCTTCACGACCATGCTCTTAATTAATACACTATCTCTTTAGCTCTTGTCCACCTTTTAAAGGCAACCCATCTAGCAAAGACTTTAATAGCAAGGACTGTTAAAATTAATATTGATTTATCAGTTCCCAGAAATAGGTTGAGTCATCACCACAGAAGAAATGAATCTGTGATTCTAACTGTGAAAAGCATGTGTATGCAAAGTTTGGCTATGGGGGAAGGGATCTCACTGCCTTCCTGCCTTAGATATGGGCTCTCTTTTTCAGTGCCTTCCTTTTTTCTATTTTTACCAGTGAAAAAATTCTCTGTAACTATGTGTGCCATGTGTGGATATCTTCCTTCAAGTATTTCTTATACAAAGTGTGCTGACCTTTACATTACAAAGTGAAAAAAGTTATGCCACCAACATCCCAGAAGAAAATTTCATTTGTGATTGATCATCTAAAGCAGTAGTTCTTTTTATTTGGTGGCTGGGTGGTGGTAGGACACAGGGTTTACTTGTCCAGAAATTAGAAGGCTGGCGGCTTTAGTAAAATATTATTATTTCACAAGTCATGTCAGTTATAGTTTGCCTTTTTCTTTATGAAATTTATTCGCAGATGTGGGAACTTTTCTGTTGAGAGCTTACTCAAACTTGGGGACAAATGATACCTGCTTTTGTGACTCACTGGCGGGGTCTCTCACTTTCTAAATCACATTTCTTTGGCCTCTTTTGGTCAGTGATGTGGTAATTGCACCACCTGCCACCACTCTCCCACCAATCAACCAATTAACCAAGCAAAACAGAGGACCAAAAGAAAGCTTTTGCAAGCTCAGCAGACCCAGAACTTTTAGCAGAAGACTTGGTGAGTGGTAATCAGTCCCTGAAACTGGGATGAGGCGCGAAGGACATTCAGGCCTCAGGGGAAAAGAATTTACAAAGCAAGTTTTCATGTTTTTCCTTGTCACTCTCAGTTTGAGACCCTGAATTCTAGGGGAGAGGTGTGCTGGATGGACTCAAGAAGTCCCCAGTTGCTCAGCAGAATCTCGGGAAAAGAGTGATTTTTTGGCTTGAGTGGTTCAGTACTAATGTCATAGCAACTGGTAGTTTTGCCTTTGTATCATTATGCAAACTGTATTTGTGTTCTTCATGCGTAGGAGACACTCCACAGTGGCGGAGATTTTTTATTTCGATTAACTTTGAGCTCCTTTATCTCTATATCCATCATGACTACGTCATCTCTTTGTCACCAGCTTTGTTATCTTGGGGATGCTGGTTGACAAGGTAACCAGGTTAATGGTATCATTCAGAATTACTTACAGCTCATATTTGTCTCTTATTTAATTGTGAGATTCTTTCCACAACTTCTGAATCATTTTGTTGGCTCATAATCCACAATACAGTGTATAACAATAGCATTTAGGTCTCATCATCCACTGTCATTTAGACATCTGAATTAGCTGGCATGGCCCTCATTCTGACAAGACATGGGTTCTTTTATTGAAACGTTGATGGTTGTTTGGATTTTTATCTTTGGTTTTCATGTTTTATTGTATGTGTATGTTTGTGTATTTACAGGTGTATTGCAGATGTGTGCATGTGTGTGGAAATCAGAGAGCAGCCTCAGATTCGGTTTCGCAGGTCCTGACTACCAGTTTTTTTTTTTTGTTTTGTTTTGTTTTTTGTTTTTTGACACAGAAGTCTCTTACTTCCCCAAAATTTTCCAAATAGGCCTCCCTGACAGAGCAGTAAGCACTCGGGATAAGCCTGTCTCTATCTCCTTGGCACTGGGACTTCAAGTGTATGTGCTATCACTTAGTTTTT